TCGCGAAGCCTGTTACGCGAGACGTGGTCTGGCGTACATATAGCTAGTAATGATTGGCTGAGCGATTAGCGAAGCCCATAACTCCACTGACTGGAAAAGCAGGCCTAGCTATATGTGCGCCAGGCGCGTCACAGCGTAACAGTGTTTCGTGATATATCGCGAAGCCTGTTACGCGAGACGTGGTCTGGCGTACATATAGCTAGTTTAATCGACCATTTGATCATTTTTGGCTCATTTTTGTCAAGAAATACCCCCTAGCACCTAAACGGTACAAGATAGAGCCAAACGGACGAAATAATTGCCCAACGGGCTCTACTTTCACAAGTTACCCCCTGGGAACCCATAAAAAAAAATTGGATAAAAAAACATTTTGCGACCTGTAGTTTTTGATTTTTTAAAAAGACCATTTTTTGAGCTACAATGCTCATCTTCGAACTCCATCGGTCTTTTTATGGTACAAAACGACCCTTAAATTCCCAGCTCACTCTCTCATTTCTTTCTCGAGTTATCGTGCGGACAGACAAACAAACAAACAAACAAACAAACAGAATGAAACTTTTCTGGTCAGTGGAGTAATGGGCTTCGCTAATCGCTCAGCCAAAAAGCGCTCCTGGGTAAGGTGTAAGTATCCCGTTTTGATAAAGGTTGCCGTTGTCGGATATTGACGATGACGTTCCGGTTTTGATAAGCAGATTTTCAGTCTTATTTTGAAGCCTTATTGAATTTAAAAATACAAGCCTTAGCGCCTGTATATTTTGAATTTGCTTTTGGAGCCGGACTGTCTCGTTACCGGCCGGCAGGCCGTTTTTTTTTATAGACAGTCTCTTGTGGTCTGTCTCTACCCGAAGGAGTTTCCAGTTTTGATAAAGATGGCCGATTAACGTTCCAGTTATGATAAGCCGATTGTTTCCAGTTTTGATAAAGATGGCCGATTAACGTTCCAGTTTTCATATGCCGATTGACGTTGCTAGTAAAGATTCTCTGTAGGGGTGAGCGTTTTCTACGTTCCGTGCAAGCCCGGTAGCAGTCCGCTGTCATCGCTCTCGTTGTGTTATAAACACAGCGCCCTTCCCTTGCTTCGCGCCGAGTCAGGGTGGGCCAGCCCACTTGAGCCTCTCGCAGCGTTGCTCCTCGCGCGCCCCCCCGCACCCCAACCCCTGCCCACTTAGAGCTCAAACGGCACCGGGCGCCACATGGCCAGTCCACTTGACAAGTGATCTCTAGTCTTAACTTTTAAATTTGAACTACAGCGCTCTGCAATATGAAATGTGCTTGTTTTCGGGCACGCAGAAATTACGAATCCAGCCAAATTTGAATGGTGATTCTAGCATAATTTGCTGATTTTCGTTGTTTTTGATTTTAACCACAGCTTTCCGTAACAAGCCCTTCTGGGTAAGGTAAAGGTATCCCGTTTTGATAAAGGTTGCCGTTGCCGGATATTGCCGATTAACGTTCCGGTTTTGATAAGATTTTCAGTCTCGTTTTGATGCCTTATTGAATTCAAAGATACAAACCTTAGCGCCTGTATATTTTGAATTTGATTTTGGAGCTGGACTGTCTCGTTACCGGCCGGCAGGACGTAAGCGAAGTTGGCCAACCAGTTGGCCAACCAACCCATCCAACCTTACACGGAATCGACTTTCGACGATTTTTTCATATTTTTATTTTTTTTTCAGCGCAGATGAAGCCAAAATGAAATAAACGCAGTCAGGCACTGTTCCTGGGTGTATCCCCCACACCCTAATGACCCCCAGACACGTCTTGGCATTAAAAACCCAACGCCACAAACAGCATCCAAGGCGACTTCGGAGGCTGAGACCTTTTTTGTCTCGGGTGCCACGGGTACCCCGTCTGTTCGAGAGTGTTCTAGTGCAACCCGACAGTGCTGCCAACACACCGGAAGTCGAAATTTGCGCCCAGAAAAAAAGGTCTCAGGGCTCAAAGTCGGCCGAAAGCTTATCTCCGTCGTTATCTCGGCCGACTTTTGACGCTGAGACCTTTTTTGTCTAGGGTGCCACGGGTACCCCGTCT